TCTCCTCGGGTTCCCGTGCCCGTCTTTTACTGTCCCCGCTGTCCTCTGCCTTCTCCCCACCTCTCCTCTCCCCCCGTGGCTTTGGGGGTGTCCTATTGGCCTTTCGGTTCACTGATCCTTTTCTGACTTCTCTCCACGGCTGGGAGACCCGCTTTTATCTTTCAGTTAATTGTATTCTTCCTTCAAGATGCTCAGTTTGATTCCTTTTAGGGAATCCAACTCCCTGGGGAAATTCTCCACGCGATGCTCGTTTCTCCAGGCCCCGCGCCCTCGCACTTTCCTTAACGTGTTGATCACATTTCCTTTAAATCCTCTCTCCCCGAGTCACCTCGAAGTCTGTTTTCTGTCTTCCCATTGTTCCTCTTGGATTTCAGTCACATCACTCTGCCTTTTGAAATGCCTTGCAAGTTTCACTGATACCACGATACATGCTGTAGAGGTCCGGGGTGGCCTTGTCTTCTCCTGCCCTCTGCCAGGCAGGTAGTGTGGCCCGTGGCCTTCAGCCTTGGGGGCAGAGCTGGGCGGAGGCTGGGTGGTGGTTTTGGTTTTGGTGAGGCTCAGTCCTTAGGACCCAGTGGGGCCCCCAGGCTGCCAGTCCAGGACCTGGGGTCTGTCCGGGCCCCTTCCTCTGGGGGGCCCTGAATGCCAGGCCTGGTTTCCTTAATGCCACCCTCTAAATCCCACAGCCTGGCTTAAGGTCTCTCTTCACGTTTACATCCAACATTTCTGCTCAGCTATGTGTCTTTATAAGTATAAAACTATTATCTAGCAATTTTATGTGTGCAGACTGGGGGTCTGGGCCCAGGTCAGTCAGGCGAGCCCCCGTCTTGACAGGAAGTCCTCTGAAGGGCTTGGGCAGGGGTGTGGCATCATCTCTGTAGTGCCAGGCAGGGCAGGCTCTGCTGCAAGGCCATCGTGGCCTTGACGTCAGAGACGGGCATGCGGAAGGTAGAGCGGGAAGGGAAGTGCCCCAGGCCCTTGATGGGGTGGGTGAGAGGAGGCCTTGGAGCTGCCTGAGCTGCACACAGCCAGGAAGCCACGGCCCTCAGGGGAGAGCTGCATGTGGAGAGCGGGGGCACAACTCCAAGGGAGGGAGGCGCTGCACAGGAGCCTGAAGGCTGGGAAGTGGCGCGGCCAGGGAGAGCGGGTGACCTCGGGTGTGCTTCAGGGGCTGAGGACCCTTCACTAGAGAGGGTGGGAGTCGAGAAGGTGGAAGTGAGGGCGCTGCATCCTGCTTCCTGAACGGTCTTCAGTGCCTGCCAGCCTGGGGCAAAGACGCTCAGGAACACAGAATGTTTGGGTAGCAGAAGGGCCTGCCATCTTGCTGCTGGGATGGGAAGGGGTCGCCTTGGGGACCCGCCGTCCCTCGTGCCTTCCCTCCCCCTCCTGCTGCCCCAGCCGGACCCTGCCTGCGCCATCACTGTGGCCCTCGCTGGCTTCCTGCCTTCGCTCAAAGCACTTTCGGGCTCCTCCTGGAAGACTCCAGCGGCCCATCGCCGCCTGCATCAGGGTTGGACTCCAGACCTTAGCACTCATGGCCGCCCACACCTACCTCCACCACCCCCTCCCCCGTGCAGCCTCTCTTCCTTCCACTTGGTTCCCCCAAGTGTGCCTCCCTGATTCCCCTGGGCTTTTAACTTTGCTGCCCGCACTCCTGAACTGCCTGCCTGCCACATGGCACTGAGCATAAGTCCGGAAGTCCACAGCCTTCTCTGTCACCTATCCTGGGACCGTTAGTGGCCGTGCAGCTCCTGCTCGTCAAGTTCATGCATTTGCCCGTGGTGTGCCTGGCCTTGCACCAGGTGCTGGCCGACCTGGGTGTCCAAACGCACAGGTCATAGTCCCTGTTCTGAAGGCACTTCCAGTTCAGAGACGCTGGGCAGGTGGCACAGGCCACCTGTGCTGGGCATTTGGCGAGCTGGGGTCCTGTGCCGCCTCCGACTGTGGTTTTTAACAGGCACCAATGACAGGGTGGCTTTTCAGGGCAGGGAGTGCTATGGGGACGTGCACACTTTATCGTTTAGTCTTGAAATCCAGAATAGACTTAATTATTACAGATGTAAATAAACACTTTTGATTGAAGAATAAATTAGCCTTCATTGGCCTTGGAATAGTGGGCTGGGTCAGCACCCTCCAGCGAGTCCCTGACACGTCCGCATTCAACAGGCGGGCAGCCGCTCACCAGGGCGAGGGTGATGGAGGGTGATGGCAGTCACGGGGCCGCCGGGGAGGCACGGTGAGGGGCTACCCGAAAGGGCTCATTTGGATGCATCGGGGAGAGCTGGAGGGAGCAGGCTGTGGTCTGGATCGCATGCAGTCAGAAAGGGGCACCATTCTGTGACATCGTCTTGACACATCTTTGGAAGGACAGGAGGCGGGCCAAGATGGTCACTTGTAAAGAGGCCGCAGAGCTCAGATTACGCAGGACAGGGCACTGCTGGTCTTCTTATTGGCTCGGACGGTGCCCACGTTTTGTCTGTATTCACCCGTGGTTACGTGCGGTCATCTTGTTGCGACTGGTCACAGAAGGGCTTGTCTGACTCTGGTGCTGTGTGAAAGTGTTTAAAAATCTACACAGAACACCAGAGCCTATATCTGAGAGTGCCAGGCCAGCTCCTAGCGACACCAGGGCCTTGCTGATAGGACGGGGCCAGCAACTAGGGACACCAGGGCCTCGCTGATAGGACGGGGCCAGCTCCCAGATATCGGGGGGCTGCCTCCTTCCTCACCTGAGAACGCCCCGTGGCTGACCTCACAATTGGTGCAGCTGCATTCGGCTTCGCCAGTGTAACTCATCCAGTCGGATGGAAGCTGCCCCTTTCCTCCCCCGTCGGGGGCGGGGGGCGGGGACGCGGCAGACGCCACGCCCACCTTGCCCCGCCCAGCCAGCCCCTTAGCGGCTGGCTGCTTCCGGATTCCTGGCCCCCAGGCTGCTCCCAGGTGCCGTCTGCCACATCTCAGCAGCTTCCTCCCTGCTTTCTTCACCTGTTCGCACCCTCGCACAGTCTCCTAGATTTTCCACTGTGGACTTGTCTTCCTAAACACAAACCCAGCTGTGCTCCTGTCCCCTTCACCTGCAGGACAGGTCCAAGCCCTTGCCGGTGTGTGGCCCTGGCTGTCCCTCCTGCAGTAGGGGCCTCTTGGTTCTCGCCCTGCCCCAGCCATACCTCCAGACCCTGCCTCTCCCAGGACTCAGCCTGGCTCAGAGTTTGTTCTCCTTAAACTCTTCAAGAAAACACTGTCCTCGCTTGGCACTTGTGCCCGAGTCCCCCCTTCAGCCGTGACTGCAGCTCCGCAGCCACGTGGCCCTCCATGTCTCTTCCTCAGTGTGAACCCGCTGGGTCTGTGAGCTAGCGTAACTGAGCAGGGTCCCGTGTGCGTGGGGCGCCAGCGGGCAGGCACCGGGGTGCAGGCCTGCTCCTGCTCAAGGAGGCAGCCGCGGGGAGGTGAGGAAGGGGATCTGCCCAGCGCTCAGCATGGGACAAGGCAGAGTGACTAAATGTGGCAGTTCTGGGCAGCTGCTGTGCAGGGCGAGGTGGATGCCAGGAAGGGGCCCCGGTGGCAGTGTGTGTCCCAGCTCGAGGACATGGGGCCTGCCTGCTGGTCAGGCTGTGCAAGGTCAGGCCTGGGGGACGAGGGGACAGCAGGAGGCCAGCTGCGGCGGCCAGAGGGCACGTGGCAGGCACTGCATGCCAGGTGGGGAATCTGGACTTCACCCTAACGGCAACCACCAGAGGGTTTTAAGTAGGCGGGCGGCATGATCACTGTTGGGGAAACACCTGGCAGTGGAGCAGAGGCTGGAGCAGGTGAGCTGACAGGTGAGTGTGAGGCCTTGGGAGGCAGGTGGAGGTGGGCAGGGAGACAGGAATGAATCAGGGAGAGAGAACAGCCACGTTTCTGGTCTGGGCCGCTGGGGTAATCCAGGTGATGGAGATGATGCAGGAGCGGCAGGGCGGGGAGGACGGATGTGGCGTTGAATGTGCCCCAGCTGAGGAGCCTGTGGGTACGGGGCAGGGGGCGGGGTGCTGGCCTGCAGAGTGCGAGTTCTTCACAGACACTGGGGTGCTGGTGCCAGCTAAAGGAGAGTTGATGGGCTGCCAGGGAGAAGGTGGAGCACCCCAGGAAAGGGCTCTCAGGCCCAGCTGGATGGAGGGCTCTGCGGGAGAAGGCTGTGGCAGAGTGTCCACTGTGGCTGGGAGCTCAGGGGGGCTCAGAGCAGGAAGGGCTTCAGGCAGAGCTGGGCCCCGGGCAGTGGGGGCACCCTACTGGGGAGGGTGAGGACAGGGACAGCGGCCTGACCTCTGAACACACACCTGGGAGCCAGATCTAGAGGGGTGAGGACTCCAGAGTTGGGGTAGTAAGAGGCACAGAGTAGGACACGTAGAACAAGCCGAGGCTGAGGACCTTTGAATGGGTGGGGCCTGGCGAGGCAGCGGATGGTGCCAGAGGCAGGCCGAGAGGCCAGCTGGCCGAGCCCTCAGGCTCTGTCCGGCTCTCGGCCGGGGGCTCTAGTCTCCAGGTTTCAGGCAGGGAAGGTGGAGGGCTGTGGAGAGCCAGGCCTGGGCTGCATGCCAGGTGCCCAAGGAGGAGCTCCCTGGGGCCTTGCAGAGACAGAGCCTGAGCAGCACGGCGGGCCTGCCCTGGGCCGCTGCCCTTCAGGCCCCAGGCAACATGGCAAGGGTCTCACAGGACCCTCCAAATGCCGAGCAGCTCCCAGGAGTGAGTAGCAGACACGACCTGGCCACTTACCATCACGTGACCCCGGCACCACGCGTTCGGGAGCCTCGGGAATTCTGGCACGTACCTTGCAATGCGGCTGGGAAGATGACGAGGAGGGAGGCGGGGCGTGCCGGGAGAGAAGGTTGGCCACCGTGCCACGAGCTACCCCATCAGTGGCTGGTCCTGCCCCCTCTTCATCCTGGAGATACCTCGAACCCCCACCCCCACCCCGCCGCCAGCTCATGGAGGACGTGGTGGGGAGAAGAGGGATGAGAAAAACACAGAGAGCAGAGGGTCCCCTTTATTGGAGTTTTAAAGACAGCAGAACGAGAGGAGGGCATCCTCCCCCGGAATAGTCCACCCTCTCTGCCCTCAGAGCTCAGCACAGGGACGAGCCCCTCACCCCTCAGGTCCCCCAGAGGGCAGCACTCCAGGGGTGGGCTGGGGAGGGGCAGGGGATACTCTATGCTGGGCGGGGAGCAGGGACAGGAGCGGAGACGTGCACCCTCACTCCTTGGCTCGATCCCTCTCCCCTGGGACCAGGTGTTGCCCCCCGGGGTGGGCTGGCAGACAAGGCTCATGCAACAGGGAGTGGGTAGGAGGTGGCACGGAAACGCCGCCCTGCTGCCCGTTGGTGGGGCGGGAGGGCTGCAAGGGGCCATGCTGGCCACAGTGGGTCCGAATGGAAGTATCTGCAGTGTACACACAGGAGGGTCGGAGGGGGCTTCCTCTGTCCCAGGCTGCGCCCGGGGAGGGAGAGGGGAGGTCCAGATGGCACTGCCACGCCAGCCACACCGCCTGCGTGGGGCCCCGCGTGCGCGCTGGGGCCCAGCTACTCCTTGGCGCGGCCGATGATGGTGAGGATGTATAGGAAGATGTTGATGATGTCCGTGTACAGGTTGAGCGCTGCGAACACGTACTCCTCCGGGCTCAGTGACAGCTGCTTGTTCCCCAGCAGCAGCTGGGTGTCCACTGCCAGGAACTGGGGCGACAGCGGGTAGTGCTGAGGGGCCCGCCCTCCCTCCCCCGAGCCGCCCCGGGCGGCCCCCACTTACGCAGGTGAAGAGCAGTGCGCCGAGCGAGGCGTACACAATCTCCAGGATGCGGTTGCGGATGAAGATGCAGAGAATGGCAAAGACGATGAGCACCACCATGCTCACCAGGAGCACGCCCATGCACGACGTGAAGTCGTAGCGGGTCTGCGGGCACAGGGGACAGTCAGCAAGGACCCGGCCGTGGGCCAGTGTCCCGCTTGGGCCCTCACCTGCATGGAGGTGACCAGCACAAACCCTCACCTGCATGGAGAAGATGACCACTGTGAAGCACACAGTGGTGGTGATGCCCACGGCCATGATGACGGCCTCGGTGTCGTAGAAGCTGGCGATCATGCCCACCATGTAGGACAAGCTGATGGTCAGGATTGACTGCGGGGACACGGGCCTTGGGTATGGGGGCCGCTCCTGTCCTACCCCCTCTGTCGGTGGGCCCTGGGGGCCAGGGGCTCGGGGTCTAGGGTTACCAGTGCAACGAGGTTCCAAGGGTGTTTTCGTCGGAAGTCCCCACAGCAGCTGAGGACGATGAGGGAGATGAAGAAGACGGCATAGGAGACATAGTAGGTCCAGACGTTCTCCCGAACGAAGCCCTTCACCTCGGTGACAAATGTAAACACAGCCACGGTGGACAGGGTCACGGACAGCTGCAGGGTCAGCACCAGGAACACCTGAGGAGGGAGCTGCTCAGAGCCCGGACCTGCACCGCCCGCGCCGCCACTGCCCCAGCCCCAGGCCCACCTTCCGGATGAAGGCCTGGCGGATGCTCTTGTCATCCCAGTTGGTGGCAGGGAAGTCCTGGTTGTCATAGTAGGATGGGGGTCCCTCCTCGTGATAGTTTCCATGCTGAGGTGCTGCGGGCAGGGATGGGCTGAGTCAGTGCCACTCGTGGGTGCCTGGAGACTCTGCCCTCCCCGGACCCCTGCCCCACTACTCACAGCCAGGGTCCTGTGCCGGGAAGGCCTGTGGTTGCCCATAGGGGTTGGGGGGAAAGGGGCTCTGTGGGTATGGCCCCTGGGGGTAGCCCCCTTGGGGGTATGGCCCCTGGGGGTAGCCCCCTTGGGGGTAGGGGCCCTGCGGGTAGCCCCCTTGCGGGTAGGGGCCCTGCGGGTAGCCCCCTTGCGGGTAGGAACTGGGACCCTGGGGATACCCTGGCTGGCCATAGGGTGAAGGCTGGAATGCGGGCTGTGGATAAGGGGCCCCAGGGTAGGGAGGCAGGGGGGGCTGGGGACCCCCAGGATATCCAGCGTTGGGGGGAGGATAGCTGTCCCCAGACACCAAAAAACTCTTCTCATGGGGCATGGCCTCAGGTTCTGTGGTCTCCCCCTAGAGGAGAGAGAGACGACAGTCAGCCTGGAGGTGCCAAGTTCCCAGACCTGCTGCCAGGCCTGGGGCTGATCCACCTGCTGCCGGGGAACCAAAACGCAGGAAAGTGGATTCATGACCTTTGCCCCGGGGGCTGTCGGGAGCCCAGTGC